TGCGGTTCCAATTAAACAGAAGAAATAACAAAAGATTAAGAAAGAGAATGTTTGTTTCTTCTGTAAAGCTCCAGGACACGAGAAGAAGCAATGCACTAACTATCATGTGTGGCGCACAGAGAAAGATTTATTTCTTAACTTTTTTTGTTAAAAGTTTAATTTAACTTCTGTACCTACACATACCTGGTGGATAGATTCTGGTGCCTCAACTCACATCAATGTGTCTATGTAGGGTTGCCTCCCTCACCGTAAACCAAGTGATGGTGCCGGATTCATTTATGTGGGCGATGGAAAACCACTCGAGGTTGAAGCAATTGGAAAATTTATATTGTTGTTAAGGACTGATTTTTTTTTTATTTAGAAAAGACTTGTATTGAACCTTCATTTAGACAGAATGTGATTTCTATTTTTGTATTGAACAAATTTAGTTATTCATGTTCATTTGGAAATAAAAGATTTAGTCTTTTTCTTAATTCAAATCTAGTTGGTTCTGGTTCTTTATCAGTGCATGATAATCTTTATTTGTTTAATAAAATTGCTTCTTATAATGAATCATTGCATGTTGGTACAAGAGGTGTAAAGAAAAAATTAACAAAGTAGAATTCTGCTTCATTATGGCATAAAAGATAAGGTCACATCTCTTAAAGGATAATTGAGAGACTTGTGTTAGATGAAATTCTAGATCCCTTTGATTTTACAGATTTTGACACATGTGTCTATTGTATTAAGGGGAAACAGAAAAACATTAAGAGATTAGGTGTCATTAGGGCTATAGACATATAAGAACTCATTCATACAGATATTTGCGGACCGTTTCCTACGGCTTCTTAGAATGGTCAACAATATTTCATAATGTTCATAGATGATTATTCCATATATGGGTAACTATATTTCATTCATGAGAAGTCCCAGTCCCTAGATGTGTTCAAGAGTTTTAAAGCAGAAGTTGAGAACCAATTTAACAAATGGATTAAGGTTATTAGATCTTATCGTCATGGTGAATACTATGGTAGATCTGACAGATCAGGTGAACAGTGTCAAGGGTCTTTTACTCGATTCCTAGAGAAATGCGGTATCGTTGCATAGCACACCATGATAGGTTCTCCTAGCATGAATAGTGTTGTTGAAAGGTGAAACAGAACACTTAAGGACATGGTGAGGAGCATGATTAGTCATTCTACCTTACCTAAATCACTCTAGGGTGAAACATTAAAGACTGTAATATATTTACTTAATAGAGTTCCAACTAAAGCAATTACAAAAAGAAGTCTAGTTTGAGACATTTGCATATTTGGGGATGTCCAGCTGAGGGTAGGTTTTATAGGCCACAGGAAAAGAAACTAGACTCTAGAACTATTCATTACTATTTTGTTGGTTATTCTGAGTGATTTAGGGGTTACAAGTTTTATGATCCTACTGCTAAGATAATTTTTTAGATGAAAAATTCCCAGTTCTTTGAGGATGTTGAGTTTGCGGGGCGAGAAAGAGTCTAAGACCTTGTCTTTGAAGAGGAAAGGGTCGGTATTCCTATTCCCTCAGTTGCTATTGATAATGATCATGATCAAGTTCTTATACCTAGTACAGTTTAAGAAGTAAATCCAAATCAAGATAATGCTATAGTATCTCTCGTTCTTATTTAGGAAACTATTCCTGAAGCACAAACTTCACACCCTCAAGAACTTATCTCATTAAGGAGATCCACTATAGAGAGGAGAAGTACAATTTCATATGATTATCAAAAATATGAGTTTGACATTGGTATAGTGAAAGATGATCTTATCATTTTTTTCAAGCCATTAAAAGTTATAACTCTTAAAAGTGTATTGATGCCATGAATGAAGAGATAAAGTCAATGAAGGATAATGATGTTTGAGATCTTGTCCCACTGCCTAAGGATGTAAATCTATTGGTTGCAAATATATATTTAAAACCAAGAGGGATTCGAAAGGTAATATGGAGAGGTACAAGGCCCCTCTTATTATTAAAGGCTTTACACATAAAAAATGGATCGATTATAAAGAGACTTTCTCTCTAGTTTTGTCAAAATATTTTTTCAGGACTACAATGGCTTTAGTTGTACATTTTGATCTTCAGTTACATCAGATGGATGTTAAGACAGCGTTTCTCAATGGTCACATTAATGAGACAATTTATATAGTGCAACTAGAAAACTTTGTATCCAGAGATACACAACAAATGATTTGCAAACTATAGAAATCCATCTATAGACTTAAGTAGGCTTTCCGTCAATGGTATCACAAATTTCATCAAGTCGTCATATCGTTTGGTTTTAAGATGAACTTAGTAGAAGATTATGTATACCACAAGTTTAGTGGGAGTAAGTACATCTTTTTGGTTTTATATGTCAATGACATACTACTTACCAGTAGTGATATAGTCTTATTGCACGAAACCAAGAGATTTTTGATAAAAAAATTTGAGATGATAGATCTTGGGGATGTCACTTTTTTATTAGGGATTCAGATACACCAGGATCGCTCTTGGAGTATTCTTGGATTATCACAAAAGAGCTAATAAAAAAGGTTCTTAAAAGGTTTGACATATATGATTGGAAACTAGGTGACTCTCTTGTGTCTAAATGAGACAAGTTTACTCTTAGTCAATGCTCCAAGATTGAACTAAAGACTATGGAGATGCAAAAGATTCTTTATGCTTCAGCTGTATGAAGTCTTATGTGTGCACAAGTTTATAGGCATCTTGAAATTGCATACATTATTGGGATGTTAGGTAGATATTTAAGCAATCCATGTATAAATCATTAAAAAATAACCAAACGTGTCATGCAGTATTTACAAAGAATAAAAGGTTATATACTCATATACAAGAGGTTAGATCAATTGGAGATCATTAATTATTCTAATTATGATTTCATTGGATGTTAAGACAACAAAAAATCTACATCATGCTATATCTACTTACTAGGAGATCTATTTTTTGGAAGAGTGTTAAACAAATACTTATAGCCTCTTCTACTATGACAACAGAGTTTGTAGCTTGTTATGAGGCATCCAATCATGGAATATGGTTACGAAATTTTATCACTATGGTACTTATTGTTGATGCCATTGAAAGACCATTAAAGTTATTTTGTGACAATAAGTCTGCAGTTATGTATTCCAACAACAACATGAGTTCTATGAAGTCAAAGCATATACATATTAAGTTCCTCGTTGTTAAAGAAAAAGTTCAGAGTAAGAAGATATCAATAGAGCACATTAGAACAAACTCTATGATTGTGGATTTGCTCACTAAGAGATTACCAACTAAGATCTTTCATGAGCACATTGCTCATATAGGTGTTGTATCCTTAGACAATATATAGATTAAGTGGGAATCTTGTACCATAGTTGCATTTATCTTGTAAGACATGTCATAAACTTTGTACTTTGATTTTGGTTTATGTGTATATGGTTTCATTTCAGTTTTTGTGTTTTATTTTTGTTTATAAATATTATCTCTGAGTTTTCTTACAGTTGATCTCACTAAGATTAAGGCAGGGCTTGTTGGAAATAGGCATGCTTAGATCATATAGCATGTAATTTCTATGCTGCAAATCCATGTTTGATCTATGTCATTTGATTATACTAATATACGTGACCATTGATGGGTTTAGCTACGTTAGCTGTAGCAAAGGCCGCTTTGATCTTGTGTCATTATGATCGATGGACAAGATTGTTTGGTGATACATTCAGGTATTGATAACATGGTTATGAGTACTTCTACGGTTAATTAACACATAGTTAAGGTATCGCATAAAGCCCAAGTGGGAGATTGTTGAATTTTTTCTGACATGTGGGCTTAATGTGGGCCTTGATATACGTATCAGGCTATCAATTTAATAGGCTCATTTAAAAGTGATCAAATATAATTAAACAATATTGGGTCTTAGTGCATCGGGTTTAAGTATGGGCTTGTAATGTACAAATATTATTTTTGTAATATTCTCATTTTATGATGGGCGAAATAAAAATTGAAAAAGTTTATCGATATAAACGCAGTTATGTTCCCCGAATCACAAGGTTGCCATTTTATTTTTTTGAAATCCTATCACCAGAAAAAACTAGTTTTTAGGCACCATATTGATTCAAAAGATTCTACCATCGGACGCGAACAATTCTTCTACGATGGATCCAGGTATGCTTTCACTTATTTTTCTCATTAATTCAGTACGAGATTGTATGTTTAGTTTTTTTTATAGATCTACGAATTTAAAAAGTATTTTTATTCTAGCAATATATGTATAGATATATATTGGTTGAGTGGATGCTAAGAGAAAAGGAAAAAGGTGGTTGTCATTCTATCTCATTGGTGACATCATTGCTTATGTCATCTATTTCATTTTTTTTTAAGAAAGTAATTTAATTTTGTTTACCCTTTTCTTCAAGTTCTGCACAAGAAAAAGTTGTTTCTTTTTATTCTAGATTTAATTCTTAGTGGATTATCTAGTATTTATTTCCGTTAATAGTATATTTGATTCATAGCTTGACCCGTGGTTTTTTCCTTCATATTGAAGGATTTTTTACGTAAAATTTTGTGTCTATTTAATTTTGCGGTTATTATCTCCCAATTATTTTTTCTCGATTGTGCATCAATTTTGCTTGAGATTATTGTTATTAGTTCCGACTAATTAATTTGGGATTGAGTTAATTTACACAATCAATTATATCTGTATTCAGGACCCAACAAGTGGTATTAGAGCTTAGTTAACTGGTTTATTGATTAATTTATGGTTTGAGATTGATTATGTGAATTAGGATGGAGGAATTTGCTGATACTATGATAAAATTAATCTTCTTCAAATTATTCAATTTGAAAGTAAAAAATGAAGATCTTCTTTATTATAAGTTTTTATATGATTCGATTAAGTTAGGAACTACTAAGCCAAAGGTAGATGGATAATAGTGTCTACCATTATATAAAAAAAGAAGTGAATGCACAGGTTTTATGGAACAAATTGAAAAATATGTATGAGAGAAAAATTGCTCGAAATAAGACTTTTATCATTAGAAATCTTGTCAATCTAAAGTTGAGAGATGGACCATCACTTGCAGAACACTTGAGTAAATTTTAAGAGTAGGTAAATGAGTTGAACATAATGAAAATGGCTCGAGATGATGAATTGCAGGCATTATTTCTCTTGAGTTCTTTGTCAGATAGTTGGGAAACTTTAGTAGTGTCTTTTAGCAATTCTGCTCCATATGGTATTTTATCTTTACCTGTGGTAATAGATAGTTTGCACAATAAAGAGACTATGAGAAAAGATATGGGTATTTAGACTTCACAGGCACTTGTTATGACGATAGAGAGCATGGGTAGAAGTAAAAGTAGAGGTCCTAAGGGGCGCTATAAATCCAGAGGTAAATCACAGGCAAAAGAAATTTTCAGTTTTTATCATTGCAGCAAAGAGAGATATATGAAAAGAAATTGTAGGATTTGGAAAAAGGAACATAATAGTAAGAAAAATTAGAAAAAGACAGATGATCATAACACTATTGCAATTGTAGCTGATGACAGTGAAGAACTGGTTGTACTTTCATTCATTAAAGATCATAACCACATCACTGATTTTGATATTGAGTGGTTACTGATTCTGCAACATCCTATCATGTTACACACAGAAGAGATGTCTTTACTATATAAAAAGTAGGGGATTTTGATAGAGTGAGGATGGGTAACACCACCTATGCAGACATTGTGCATATTGGTAATATTTGTGTGCAGACAAATTATGATGGCTCATAGTTCCCCAACAAAAAACCATGCTGCCAAACACAACTGAGCTAGAAAATACAACATAAACTTTAAAAATAAAAGCACAACAGAAGCTATTCATCCCTTATACAACTCGTAACATAATTTGCATAATGAGGTTATAAAATTTTGTAGAGTCCACAACTGAACTAAAACTCACTAGATGAAAACAAAAACATGAAACTCCTTATTTGGCTCTATAAACTATCTTCTTCGGTTTGATATGAAAATGAGTTGAATTTAAATGGAATTAGCAAAACAACAAGCTCAGTAAGTATATATAATAGACTACACCCTAGACATGTGATATACCCACATACAATCAATCAGAAACGTAAAACTTTTCTTTCCCTTTATGTTTAAAAACCATGAAATGCAGAGATATTCCATTTACCATCTCATCTCTCAATGTTCCCCCTAATTCCTTCTATCTAGTCTTTTCCCCACATTATTCTCCTTTAGTAGTTATCTTTCAAAATTCTTCTTTCTAATTATTTTCTCTTTATCCCCAGAATTTCTTTCTTTTCTTAATTTCCTAATTATAACCACTCATATCGCACATTATTATCACATTTTATATGGTACCAAAACCATACTCATCCATCAGTTCCCTCTAATCCATATATATCCCACAAATTCATATATCGGACTTTCTTGCTAATATTTGGTCAAATCAAGACATCCGTAATCCCTCAGCGGGTATCCCCGATTCTCAATTTTTTCCAACACAATCATCAAATTGAAGTTATTAAAGTGTTAGAGTTTTCTTTGAGATGGAATGGGTGAATTCATTATCCAATTGGTACCATTATGGGACAGGATTCCCACTATCACAAGGGGATGCACACACAGTGGTCCCAGCAGTCCGTCGCCAGGTGACCTAGAATATAACACATACCCCAACCACGTCTAGAAGGGTTTTCATCTACCAAAGGATAAGGTTCACCACACAGTTAAATTTTAGCCATACCAATCTTAAATTGGTTAACTCTAAATTTTCGTTTCTTCTAAGTTTTTGTTTTGTTTTCCTTTTCTTCCTATTCTAATTAAGATTGATATTTTTATTTTTCTAACAGACTAATTATATTTCCTAGAGACTTTATACACTCTCTTAGTTAACCTTACTCTATATCTCACACTATTCTATTTCCTCTAGTTTGTTTCTTTTCCATCCTTATAGAACTCCCTAACTCCCCTTAATCAGACACTTTCCTGTTTACTGTAATTTATTTAGTTATCATTTTATTTATGATCTATGTTTTAATGCTTTTATTATTTTTAGTTTTAGTTTTATTTGTTTTATTTAGAATTCCTAATTTTATTTAAGAATGTGTATTTCTTTTTATTGATCTTATTTTATTTGTGAGAGTTATTTTATGTGTTCATGATCTTATTGATGAATATGAACTATTATTAAGATTTTACTCAAACTACTCAACTCATCATACTATTAACCATCAACCATCAACCATCGTACAATATTTAAAACATGCAATCTTCATTCAACAATCAAGCAACAAGTAAATGACAAATTAAAACATTCAGTTTCACTATTTTCTAATTTCTTCCACTTACTTGATTATCAATCCCGATTCCTTAATTTTATAAACCTTACTCAAAACTTAATTAGGTTTTTTCTTGAAAGCATTTTTGAAAACAATCAAATGTAGCTTCGGGATAGCTATTAGATATACTTATAGACTTGGACTGAAAAGGGTTCTGATTTGAACTCCAAAAATAATCCCAAATTTGCAGAAAACCTACACAGCAACTAAGCCTTCTCGGGTTAGCAATGAACCCGAGAGTTTCATGCAATCATGTTGCATGACCATCTCGTTTCTACAACTATTTTAGTTACTAAAATGATCATTCAATTTAATTTTTTTTTGTTTTGCATATTTGATTAATTACATAATTTCTCAAACATTACATCCTCCTTATTTTCTATTAATTTTACACTCAAATCTTTTTATTTAATTTACTCATAATCTTAATTCTTTTGATCAAATAGTTTATGATCATTTTTGAAGTACTACTCCTACTTACTTTTTTTTCTTTAGTTCATTTTATCTATTATCTACTCAATTCTAAAAGTCATTTTACAGATTATTTCTTTGCTATTACTTCATAATTATTTTATTATAATATCTACTCCATTCAAAATTAAATAACTTGTTTATATATTTATTAAATAAAAATTATTTCCAAAATTTATGCATTCTGATATTTTAAACTACCTTTTCCTCATTATTATAAATTATAACTAAATTAATCTGCACACTAACTACTTATCCAATCAAATTAAATTTCCATTAATTACTTATTCAATCAATTTTAATTCTTATTAATTATTTATTCACTCAAATCCAATTCCCATTAATTAGGTATTCAATGAAATTTAATTATCAAAACTATCAACATTAATTAAATTTCCCATTTCAATTTTAATTAATTTATTCCTCTCCCATATACACATATATACATATGATTATATATACTTATATATATCCACCATATTTTAAAATTTTTGTACTTATAGTATATTATATAATGTTTATATTATCTACATTATTATTTGCAGATACATATATATATTATAAAAATCTAATATAAAATTATACATGCACACATATACACCAACATGCATGTATATATGTATGTATACATACTGTACTTACATATAATACTCACACACATTTGTATAACTACATATACTCATATATATAATCATATGAGCTATATATATCTACATAAATGGGATTATTTGTAAATTTTACAGGATTATTTGTAAATTTTACAGGATTTTTTCCTCTTTCGTTTAACATTTGATTTCCTCATTATTTAATCACCCTATTTCACTAAACTATTTTACAAGATCCTTGAAGAAGTTTGAAACAAATCTACATACACCAAAGACTTGAGAACACTTAAGTGTTTAACATATCTATGTTTACATCGAAATTCTAAGCCAAATTAATTTTTTGGATCTAATTTGCACCCCCAAACTAGCTCTCAAAATATGATTCGCAGAAATAAAATAAATTACTAAGGTGTTAAACATTTGAGAAAATGAAAATCATGAATTAAGAACTATAGTGTTCTTACCCAGGCGCGGACCAAATATGCCCCGAGTTCATGGTAGTGAAGTCTCAGATTTCTCCATAGCGAAAAGGAGGAGCTCTAACCATGAAAGTCATTCGAAGGACTGATGGAGCTCTCGGGTTTTACATTTCTAACTAAAATGAAAGAATACACATACACTTAGGAAAACAAAAGAGAAACAATGAAATAAGGAAGAGAAACACGCTTATTGGAGCTAGTTTTGCTCTCCAACATGACAATGGAACCTTGCCCCGCCACCCTCTTCCTTTCTCCAACATCCCACTCTCTGCCACACCCTTCTCTTATGGCAGCTAGGGTTAGGAGTCATAAGAAGAGGACCCATAAATACCCACCCCAAAATAATTTCTAGCCATGGGATTAGATCAAATCTAGCCACATATGGACCCTCCAATCGACTTTCATTAAGGGCAAATAAGTCACTTCCTTTCCTTAAAAGATCTACACCATTGATTCAAATTTTTACTCATCAAAGCCGTTGAAAATCATGACTGTTGGATTGCACTCAAGATGACTTATGGTTGTTGCTTTATAGATCGTATGCAGACCGTGTGATCAATCAACACATGCCTCAATCTTCTAATCAGCATCTTGTTTGTCAGCCGCATGATCATAATCATCATCCTCTATGCATCTAGGAGCTGTTAGATTGCATCCAAAGGTAGGAAGGATCCTCAACCATTCGATTTTCACTAAAACATGCAGGTCGTTCGATCATCCAACACGCGAGTCTCCAGCGTGTTGAATCCGCATGGAATATCATTGTGACATGGCCACCACGGGCGCGACCAAATAGGTTGCATTACCAAATCAACAAATGATATGGCCCGTTTATAAAAAATTGCATAGTGACCCCTAGTCACTATATATATTTTTATTAGGTCCATTTTAATTATAAAATGGCCATAACTTGGACTTTTACTTCAAAAATATCCTAAATTATTTATGTTATTTATTATTCTTATTTTTCATGATTTTTAAATTTTTAAATAATTATTTTAAGGTCCTAGAAATTTATATTTAACTCATTTTTGTCCTTTTTAATTATAAAAGACCCCAAAAACTTTAGTTTTTATTCGTTTAAGTCCCTAAACCTTAATTTATCTAAATTTGAGTATAATTTAATTTATAAACTCCATTTTTGCAAATTTATTTAATTTGTGGGTGTTACAAACTCCCCCTCTAAGAAATTTAGTCTAAATTTTAATTTGCAAAAACCTAGAAACACCTATCCATGAACTTTATTGGCATACTCGTCAAAAAATTGGAGTGGTTATAATGTGTTGTTTAAGGAATACGTTTTAGGTTGTGATATCCTATTTTCTAATTCTTACATGTAAAGGTATGTTTGTTTCAGGGTGTCTTCAATACGTAATTGTTTTTATATTTCCCTAGTGTCACATTAATATGTCTGTTACTAGCATATGTCCTTCAAGGATTTTGTTTATGGTTGTGTTTCTTTGTTTCAGATATTAGGTTTAATAGTGTTGTATTCACATTTTCTCGAAAATAGTTATTCTAGTTAAAGAACTATTATCTTAGCTATGACCATATTAATCCTTAGGTTTTTGGGGAATAATTTAATTCATTGGTTTTGTTTTAACTTCTAACAGTTAAAGCATGACTGGCTAAAATGGGCTTAAAGAGTTGCATTATTAATGGTGATTAGGAATTCTTTTGATAGCAGATTCATTCATTAATGTTGTTACAAATTGTTACATTTAATTCTAGTTCTTGCAGGTACGCTTCATGTTCCCAAGAATTTTGAGTGACTGTGCTTAAGTATGGTCTTAAGATAACAGTCACTGGCTTATCACACCATCAATTTTATCTTTTTAGTTTGAAGAGAGAAATCATACAGGAGTGGTGGGGGTCAAAGTGCCCACACACCGGGATCGCGTCGCCTTTCGACACCTAGCAAGGTCATTTCTGATGATGAGGACGCACTTAGCTTACCTTATTATTAAATAAAGGATAACAAAGGGGGGATAATCCATAATATCTGGTTCTGTTGGTTATTATAGAACTGGCTGGTTTGTTATCTCTTAATGATACGGTTATTCAATTTCTTAGGATTTTGCGTTATTATTGTAGTTTTATGTAGAACTAAGACAACAATTTTACAACGATGAGGTCCTTTGTTTTTCCTAGAGGCACTTGAAAGAGAATTATTAAAAAAATTTGGATGGCTATTTGGTTCATAGAAGGTTCAAGGATTATGCGTCTTTAAGCGAAGTTGGAAAAAGAACCCTTGAATAGTGAGGGTATTTGTTTTTTCCTAAAGGGACGCAAGGAGATTTCTTAAAAAAAATAAAATTATTATTTGGCTTCCATATGGCTTCAGGTTTACTATCTAGAGTGCACCTACTTGGGGGTTGTCTCTCGTTCTGGGAATTTCTCCCTATTGAGAAACTTTCCCACTCGATAGAGTTTAGTTTTTAATTCAAGAATTTTTTTTTTCCGCTTGGAAGATTTTCTCCCGTTTGGGAGAATTCCTCCCACATGGGAAACTTTTCCCACTAGAGGAATTTTTTTTTCCACTAGGGAAAAATTCCATTACCATGGAGCAATTCCAATATGGGAAATTTCTCACAAGAGAGATTTCCCACAACAATGGGGAATTTTCTCCAACTATGAAATGTTCTCCCCCACCTTCAAAAATTTCTTATGGAAACCTAGCAATAAGACTCCAGAATACATTTATACCTCATGTACAAGGGATGCCCTAGGGTCACGTTGCTCTGATACCACCTGTGATGACTTGTAGTTCCTCAACAAGAAATGTGACATCCCAGATGCTAATTAAGGCAAATGGGTATTAGATACAGATTCAGAATAACGAATGCATGATAAAATTTTATTCAGTAGAAAAATTAGTACAAATCCCTTACAAATATACATAGATGAGGTTTAATTACATATATATAACTAAAGCCTAAAAAGACTATAAAATACAAAGAAAAGAAAACACAAAAGAATTCAACTTCTTTCACTATGCTATTGGACTCATTAGAGTGCGAAAACAAACATTTATGGATCCACGGGATCCTCATAGACTTCCAAGGGTAGGTCAACCTGTGGTTCCTCATTTTCTTCCTCATCTTGGGGGGATGGAAAGAGTGAGTTCCATATGCTCAGTAAGGAAAACAATATTAAATTAACATCGTAAGTTTTAAAGATGAATTATTTAACTTAAAAGCTTACCATTGGCCACCTCGTAGACCAATCTTACATTATGAAAATAATTTATTTATTAAGAAAATAGTACATTAATATGAACAATCAAACATACTTCAGGCCAGATAATAGAGAAAATTAAATAAATCATGAAATGCTCAAATTTTTGTATCATGCTTAACGAAGTCGTTATAACTTCCATCTTTGAAGGCAAATACAGATTTTCAACTACTCAAGTGGAATGACTAGATCATATACAGATACGGTAATTTGCTCAGGCCCATTTTTGGTTGGCCAAACCATGGTACGATCTACGACCACGTTCGTACCAACCATAGTGGCCCTATTAAATATCTACAGTCACGACAGTACTTAGCCAAGTGTGACCTTTAACAAATATTCGCGTCACCACTCTCATCAGAGGGTACACCGTCATCCTCTGAGAGTAGACCTCTTACGTCTTTCCAGACAAAATGGGAGAGGGAGAAACAGATACCCCGAAGGGCTAGGGGAACAGATACCCCTCAGAGATAAAAAGTCTAACGAGACACTTGATGCAATATACATGTCAATACAAATATATATTTCGAACTATTCGTGCTTCATTTCACTTTTCTCTTTTTTTTTTCTTTTTATTCTTTATTTCTACCATGCAATAATACCGACTTCATATTATATTTTATCACATGCAAATAATCTAGTGTCTATAATTCACATAACATGCTTTAAAACTAGAATAATTCAACTTATTTGAACTATAAACACAAAAGCATACAAGTAAGCAAAATCATAATCATCATATTTAATAATTTTATTTTATCAAAAAATATCCCTTAAGACATAAAAAAAAAATACTAAATTTCTTATCAAAATCTTGATGTTTTCTCTTTCACTGTTCTTCTTTTCTTTTCCTCCTTCTCTCACTAGATTACTCTGTCTCTCCTTTTCTCTTTAAGTCTAGAAAAAATGGAAGAATGGAAGTGTGGGGAAGAATGGGGTGGAAAGGCCTATTTATAGAATTTTAAAACCGTTGGATTCGAACCAAGTAGCAAAATTTGGTGAAAACAAAGGCAAAAAATATGTTTGTCATAGAAAATGAGGGAGGAGGGCTTCCTTCGCCGACGGTGGCGGTGCACCACCCAAGGCGACAGCAGTGTGCTGCCAGAGTTAATAGCGATGCATTGTTCGAGGTAGTAGTGCCCCGACCAGCACACTACAGGCTATCATGCTGGCGCCCAGGCCTCCTACCGTGCACGCAGGACCTTAGCACGCTTGGCACCGCTCATGCTGGCCTACTGCGAGAAGGTCCTAGGCGCGCAGAGCTTATCCGCGTAGGCCTACTATGCAGACGGTGCTTGCACAATGGGCGACACTTGTCTGTGTACGAGGTGACACGCGGACGGCCTGCTTGTACACGACAAGGCACATACAGGACCTATCCCCGCACCGTGGACGTAGATGCGACATTTGTGTTATGCTCACATCTTGTGCGTGCATGTGTGTGGATGAGATGGGCGTGCTGTTTGCACTTCCTGCATCTACTGTGCGCGCTTGCGCGCGTGCACTATACGCGACATCCGCACTGATGGCTCTACTTCCCTGTGGGATTTCTTTCCATTTCGATGTTTTTCTAATTTTTTCCAATACAAATTTTCAATGAAGTAAAACTCATGCTGTATAAGTATGCAAATTTAAATTCAGTTAAAATTTTCACAAAGTCTAAAAAAAAAAAAGATATCCATGAAAATAAAATTTTATAGTATATATAAAATAAAATATTACGTTAAGAAGGATTTTCATTTTTTCCTTCACTAATGAGAATTTGTGTTTACATCTAATTCTTCCATGCAATTTTTATTCAAAAAAAGAAATTAAAAAAAAAAACTTAGAAAAGAGATATATTAGTAATATCTGCAATAAAAAATAAGTATAAAATTCATTTACTACCCTTCCTTACTCTTTTTATCAAATACCTTGACAAATTTCTCACATTTTAATGCCATTTGACAAGCGCGAAGGC